TGTTGCTGTTGCTGCTGCTGCCGCCACTGCCGCTTCCACTGCCCTACTACTACTTCTACTACAACTACGACTACTGCTAGTACTAGTAGTAGTAGTAGTAGTCGTAGTCGTAGTGGTAGTGGTAGTGGTAGTGGTAGTGGTAGTGGCAGTGGCAGTGGCAGTGGTCGTGGTCGTGGTAGTGGTAGTGGTAGCAGTAGTAGCAGTAGTAGCAGTAGTAGCAGTAGTAGTAGTAGTAGTAGAAGTAGTCGTCCTCCTCCTCCTCCTCCTCCTACTTCTACTCCTCTTACGCCCACTCCTACTCCGACTGCCACCGCCACCGCCACCTTTGCCACTGCCACCGCCACCTTTACCACCACCACAACCGCCACCGCCACCATCACCAGCACCGCCGCCGCCGGCCGCCACCACCGCCGCCACCGCCACCACCACCACCACCGCTGCCGGCAACAGCACCAGCACCAGCACCAGCACCACGGCGACTATTGCTACTCGTGCTGCAACTGTTGCTACTACTTTGCTACTGGTTACTATTTGCTGCTGCTGGTGTTTGTGCTGTCCTCCCGCTCGAGCTGCCGTTTTAACTACGCTTGAACACGCGTCAATTTTGTGGTCCCGGCAACGTGCCCGTTTCGGGCCTGTGTTTGCGTGACAAGCCGACAAAAGCGCACAACACTACAATGGAGTGCTATGCCGAGTCTGGAGCGTAACACCCCGCTCTCGACACTCACAGCACGAGGCAAAAATGCCTTGCTTTCCGCCAGCTTGTGTGGACTTCGTGCTCTTGAAGGCGACCTGCCCAGGCACAGTGCGGCACTTGGCCGTTGCACTTGGAGGCCTCCGGCATCCTCCGGCCTCCGGAACCCAGTCACGACCTTTGCGAGGCGTCGAGCGGGGCGTGGGTGTCTGAGACCTGCACATACAGCGCAGTCGTGAAGGCATAACACCCCCTGCCTGTTCTCAATATTTGACGCCTAACCGATCCTGTTTTATGGTTGAAGCACTGACTCTATGTTTTCTTCAGAACGGCCTTGGTCGATCAGCTGGCGCCCGCGGACTTGCTGATGATCTCTCGGCCTGGCCGAGACTGGTGCCAGCACTGCAAACGCAAAGCAGGCCCTGAGACCTTGTTGGGCGCTAAGACACTCAAAAGGGCGCGGGACCTCGACAGTATCACGTATGTGTCTGCGACTCTCTGAACGCATGCGCAACCAGGCAAGCGAAAAATGCCAGGCAGGTGGCCACTGGTGCAAATTCTCATTGTCACCGACATGGATGCCCACTTTCTTGCCCTTTGCAAAACATGGTTACAAGCGCTGTACATGTCGTGTGCTCATCTCTGGATTTGGAGACGCGAAGCAACATCGAGATCTCAAGCTTCCTGACACATGGGGTTGCTTTCCACGTTAAGGTGTCGGCACCGAGATTGACAATGAGGCCTCAACGCAACCATGCACCCCAAGCGTCGACAGCGAGTGAGGTTGCAGCTGAAACAGTCAATGGAAGACTAATCGTGCGCACCGCCTTTCTCGGCTTCTTGGTGAGATTATGCAGAAGTGTGCAACTGTCGCAAGTGCGCCCATCGCCTCCGCTGATGGTCTCCAGACCACGAATACTTGACATCAGGATGCGGCTTTCCTGTGCGTCTGAGGCTGCCGTCACCAAGCGAACAGGTGGCCACAGGGTCAGGCTGAAACAACATCGCAGAAGTGTTTCCCATGTTTGTGCTGGAGCTGTAATCCTACAGGGCCCTCCATTCCCTACACTTGCTGCATTCTGTGGTGCTGTTGGTGGCGTCACTTTGCAGCTGCTCATTGCCTGTGCCAGCACAGCAGCTCCGGCGTTGCCAGGACAGTTGGGCTGCCACGTGTTGCCTTTGCCTTTTTCCGCGGCAATACTTGCGGTGGTGCAAATGATATGCTTGGAGGCCTGTATTATGCCGTTCGTGCTGCTGCTGCTGCTGTTGCTGCCTCGCAGGTTCTTTGGCATTCTTTGGACGATTGCTCCACTCTTCGATTGTCCTGCGGGCGACATGCCCTGTTGCTGTTTTGCTGTTCCGCTTCTGCTGTTGGGGCTGTTGCCGTTGCTGCCCAAGTTCTCCGAATGCACTTTGCTACAAGTTGCGGCTAAAACCTGGTCCTTGCTCAAACACAAGACGTGGCTCGGTGATCCTCTCGGCCACTACGAGAGATCTGGAGTTGACTATCAGCGCAAAAATGGCAGCAGAAGCCTGACAAGAGGCCAAGGCGCCGCTCAGGCGGAGACTTCGCATGCGACAGTTTCGGTGTCCATTGGAAATTTGCAAGCGCCGCCACGACTTTCGCAGATTCAGCCCAAGCCTGAAGCTAAGAGCTTCTTGATGTTTGCTGCAGTTGAGCTTGGCAACTGCGGTGTTGGAAGCAGCTTGAAGCTTGATGGCATAATGAACAGAACCGTGGATTTCAATGTGGTGGGCAGTCTTGCTTGGAGCCATCTGCGAGAATGGTCCCATTTCAAGTTTTCTCCTTCACGGGCCGTCGTGAGTCGAACCCGGCACTTTCGAGTACTCGCGACGTTGGCTTGCAACACAACTTTCAAGTCCATGACTTTTCATGAACATTGGAACATTCCATGGATAGTTTCCGACTCAAGTGCCGCGTTGCATTGCCGTCCCAAATTGGCCAGTTTTACCTTTGACATGCTTTGACAGGCTCAGGATGCCTCCACCCTTGTGTTACGCCTTTGATTTGCTTACGGAAGGCGATCTGGTAAGGCGAAGTTTGCTGGCCTTCCCACGCGCAGGTACCGGCGTTTTTGTGACTCACCGGGGAAGAATCTAACGTTCTTGGCATTTTTCAGAATTGCCTAGCCGATCTTTACGATTTGGGTGGGATTGCTGGGCATGTTGCTCTTGACCCTACTTTAGCTGCTGCTGTGAGCATCGCATCCGTCCGCTTCATGACTGCACTGGCACGCACCCATCCAGTGTCCCACAGGTCCTCCTTCAGTCCGCAGCTGGCCTGTGATCTCACAGCTGGCTCGCGCTCTGCAAGCATGATCGAGAATGCTCTGCTATGTTGCCAGGGATGGGCGCCAGACGCTAGAAGCGCTGCTCCAACTGTCAAGCCTGTCCTGTGATGCACTGGCATGGGATGTGTTTAGTTTAATCTCTCTTATGTCAGTCTCTGTCTCTCCCTCCCGCCCTCTCGCCCCTCCCTCCCCTCCTCCCCTGAGGTCTGCACAAAACACCAATAGGGCTAGTTGAATATTGTTGGGTCGTCAAGCCTGGTAAGGTTGACTTGCGAGCTGTGCAATCACCTCCTGGCCTGCACTAATCTCCGTGCGGCTCGCTTTCCGCAAATCATGTTTACTCCCGCACATCTTTCCTATCACCAACTCAGCCTGAACTTTGCTACATCGATGTCCGACAAGCATCGTGTCAACAATCTTCTAGCAGTAACACTGCCATAACTGCCCTGCCCAACAAACCCAAAACTCTACCGCTCGGCCAGGAATCGAAAGAAGCCTGTGACCTATGACTTGCACGTATGAAACAAAGATTTCGCTCCGTCACACGAAAGAGCACTGCTGTGCTGCTTGCCCTTTTCACACAAAAGGATTCTTCTCTGACTGTTTTCGTTTGGAGACAGCTATCCTCGCTCACTTCGGGTTGCAGGCGGAAGAAGTGCTACGTGCAGCAGAGTACAATGCCTTGATCTCCGTCATTACCTGTTCCCATCTGTTGCCCTCGTGTCGTGGTGAGTCCCACGGTCCGCTTTGCTTGACCCGGTTTGCAAGGTCGGTCTGATAAGGGGGTCCGTGGAGAACTGCAGCGAGGTAGCAAGTTTGGACACTCGGGGACGGAAAGACTTTTCAGTTGACCTCCCCTGAGCCCTGAGAATCCATGGACGGGGAAGATCGGAAAGAGATGTACTATACATGGAAACGCACCCGTAGTGTTGGAAGGGGAGCACACTTTCGACAGCTTTTCCGCTGCTGCACTGACAAAGCTTCCGCACCTAGGTTCCGGCTCCTGTGCAGAAAAACTGGTGTTGGTGGTTTGAGGGAACTGGAAAGATTCCCAACGCCCTGGCATGAAATGCTGTCATTAATGTCTTCACAAGGCAGTCTAGGTTCGCATTCATGGCACACGATCAGCGGCTTGCAAACGGAGCCTGTAACCCAAACGACAACGATCAACGTCCCAGCTAGCTGCATCCGCGACTCTCATGCTTCTGGCTTTGCTACGTACCAACCTGCGGCGCTCCTTGAAGAGAAGGCTGACTCGGACCACCAGGCGCTGTTGATGTTGGAAGCCGAGCAAGCCCCAGTGGATCACCTTTTCCTCGACTAAGGCTGAGGCACTGGCTTCTAGGGCGAAAAAACAGCATGAACAACAGGTGTTGCTGGCAGCTTGGCTCAAGTCAGTACTGCTTGCCGGCTTCACATCAAACCCTCTCCTCAATCAACAAGGGTGTGATTTTGGCTAGACTATCATGTCATACATCTTGATTGTTCCGCTTCATCCATGGCAATCCTGCCATCGCGAATTACAAGATTCATTGTACCCACAAGGAGCAGCGCTGATCATGATTACCGGGCATTGCCGACCACAGCCTTTCGTTGTCTACGCGCACGTGTGTGTGTGTGTGGGTGTGTGTGTGGGTGTGTGTGTGTGTGTGTGTGGGTGTGTGTGTGTGTGGGTGGGTGGATGGGTGGGTGGGTGGGTGGGTGGGTGGGGGGG